CCCGAGCACGGGGCTGGTGTTAGGGCTGTAAATCTTCTCTCTTTACACAACGCCGGCACAAATCCAGCCTTTCCATATGCAGGAAGGTTTCCCCTCTCCCACTGCTGGCCCGTGTTCGCGGCACACACACGCTCCAACCAAGGAGAAAACTCAGGATAATTTATAGGTTGAGTAAAATCAATCCTAAATGATTTTTAATCATCTCTGTGCACGGACCCGGGGTTTGTTATGTACTAGCGAGTGCTGAGGAGAGCCAGCAGCTGGGCCCCAGCGTGGCCCCAAGCCACGGTGCATCCCACTGACTGGGAGCTCTGGTTTGATCCTCCAGCGGTGCTGGAGCACAGCGAGGATGAGCAGTTCAGGATCCGGCCCTTGAGCATCCTCACCAGCCTAGCTCTTGCTCGTTGGACACCCCCAGGGCTTTCTCCTTGGCTCCCCGAGCCTTTGCTCCCCGAGCCCTGGCACCAGGCTACTGCATGGACGTGGCTGAAAGCCCTGTGGGATTATTAATGAGCAGTTACTCTGATTAATGCAGCCGGGGGGTGGTGGGGTGGGAAGGGGACAAGCTGGGGACACCAGCTCCAGCGAGCCCCAGACCTGCAGGTTTCCCCTCCCTCCGTGTGTGCATGGATTTGCGCAGGGAGAGCACCAACATCACCGTGAGCCCCGTCCCTCCCTTCTTCCAGCCTCCGGCGAGGGTGCAAGGATGGGATGATTCAGCACGTTCGTTTTTCAGAGAATAAAGGAAGTAATTAAACATCAGCTTTCCTCCCGCCGCAGCCCTGCGTGGATGAGAGGGAGAAGATAAAATGCCTTCAGACGGAAGTTATTTGTCTAAGGAGAAAAGTGGCTAATTTCTCTGTTGCTTTGCTTGTCTCCTCGTTAATGAAAACCTCTCATCAGCAGGAAAAGGGAGCACCCAGCGAGGGGGGAGGAACCGCACCAGCCATCCGTGGCCGGGCAAGTGGCTGTCGGTGGCCTTGGGACATCCCGTCCCTGTTGGGGTGTCACATTCCCAGAGCCCCCCGTGGCATCCAGACTCAGAGTTTGGGGCTGTGGGTGCAGCTGGGTGTCGGGGAGCCCCCCCCTCACCGCAGCCTTATGGCCTGGGGACCAGTGCTTGCAAGCCAAACGCCACAGAAGGGTTTTCCCAATTCTCCCCCTGCCCTGAATTTTTGTGCAAAGAGTTTAAAATGAGTTTGTTACGGCACTTCCAGGGAGACAGAATCGAAAACAGCTTCATGCCTGAAGCCTCCTGCCTGGCAGGGGGTGATGGATGGTGCTTAGCTCGACTTGGGCATGGAAATATTTAGTGTTATGACAATCTCTCCCTGAAAAGAATTTCTTTTAGTGCTGATAAGAAAGCACCAAACCTCATTGTTGTGGGTTGCTTCAGGTGGCACCGGAGCTCCGGCTCGCAAAGCCAACGTGGTCTCCGTTCGTCCCCGGCCACGCAGGACACCCATGTGTGAGGTCTGCACCTTCCTGAGGGTGATGATTCACTGGCAGAGGACGTTCGAGGCATCGCTCCCTGTTTTCTGTTCCCTGGGACACGGAGGGGACCTGCAGACTGTGGAAGCTCTTTCATTTGGAGGTTTATATAGATATATTTCTAATTGGATTCTGGCACGTCACGGTTATTTTCAAGGCAGCCTGTAATTATTTGAGAGTGTAGCTCAGATCGCCTCCTTTCTCTCAGCACAGAGGTTTTTTTTAATATTGTTTCCCGAAATGAAATTGTGAATTTGCAGCGTAATCCAATGAGAGGACACACGCGATGCCATCATCTGCAAGGGCACAGCGAGGCAGCCTGATTCACGTTCCCCAGCTTCGTCATCAATTCACAGCAAGAATAAAAAAGGAAAAGCGATGTTTTAATTCTTCCCAGTAAAAAGAAAAAAAACCACATCCCAACAACAAATAAATGTTTTAAGAAGTTGCTCTACGCTCGTGGATATTTTCTGAGTTGGGGAGGTTTTGCTGGTCCTGCTGTATCTCAGCCCACCCCTGCAGAGATGCTGAGGGTCACGCAGTCGGGCTCAGGGCAGCTCAGGCACCGTCCTGGCACGGCCGAACCTCCCGGCAAACCCGGGGCCGTGGCCAAGGAGGGCGGTTGGATGCCGTTTTCAAGCTTTTTCTCACCCAACTGAAACTTGATGAAATTCCTGTTAGCTTTTGTTGTTGTTGGTTTTTTTTTGTTTGGGGTTTTTTTTTTTTTACGTGTCGCAATTTTGGGAGGCCAAAATAATTTCATCCAACCCCATCTGCTCCCCATTAGGTAACTGAAGCCCGAGCAGGTCGGATCCTGCCGTCCTCACCAGTGATAACCCCCCAGGCCAGGCACTGCCATCACCCCAGTGCTCCGGTTGTGATTTCAGCGCCCAGAACAGGCACAAATGAAGTCTAAGCATCGTCTAAGCAAAGTTTTCCAGCACCTAGCAGCTAACCAGCATGAGCCAGTTAATGACTGTACCGCGGCCCCGCTACACCTCAGCGGCCTGAAGCTCTTGGTTTTCTCCAAGCCCGATTTCAGGGCTCGCTAGTTGTATTCAGTTGCTTACAGAATCCGATTTATTATTTACATTGCAAGGTACAGCCGGGCTTGAATTGATTTGCCGTGCTCTGATTGCCACTGCACGCTGCAGGGGGAGGGGGGATCTGGAAACTGGTTGCATGTGC